TCTTAATTTTTCATCAGAATGAATTGAAATATATGTGTGCAAATTTAAGATAAATAACCCCTTCACTGTCAGGACGCCCCCCAAAATTAACCCTTAAATGGTCCAAACGTATAAATACGTTTTTTCAACATCTGAAAGTATGTAAAAAAATGTAATCATCTTTTTTGTTTTGCATTTGAAAATGTGTAAAAAAACTTTCATCTACATTTTTTTTTTGTTATATTTGAAAATATGTAAAAAAAAGTAATCTACTTTTGTAGCACTACAAATTTGAACGTCGATCTGTTTGGACCGTTTAAGGGTTAAAATAGCTGTCCACATTTGTTAAAAAAAAAAAAAAAAAAAAACTGCAATGTTAGTGACAATATTTTTCTAAAGGAACTGTGTTCATCTTATTTATGTATAAGGAACTCTTAATTGTTTGGTAAAGAACTAAAGATTAAACATTTAGATTATGCTGGTGCGGGAGGACTAGTGGGGTTTTGGAGAGGCAGGGAGATGGGTGGTTTGGCTGGCTGTGGGCCAGGTGGGAGACCAGCTAGCCACATCATGGACATGTTCAGTAAACAGTTGGACTGAGAGACATCTTCACATGACAGTACACTCCCTCATGACAACACCCTTACACTACACACCTGACCTTATACCCACCTTCACATTCACCCTCTTTTTGTTAGGTGAAAAATATCAGTACTGAATGCAAAATATTGGATTAAAAATTTTGGGAAACAATTTGCAAATTATTCTACAGAGTTTCTAATGGGGAAAATAGGTGCAGAGTATTGAACAGTTGACTTACACAATTTCCTGGAACGTATTAATGTTACAAGTTAGGGCTCAACTGTATTGTATTTACCTCCACTGATGCCACCACCCCACCTTATCTTCCCTTCTTGCAGACAGCCCTGCTTTTGACTCGCGATCACATTTTGACTTGTCAGCAACTGCTTTACGCACTTTGGCACACAGCTCTTAGCGTCGCTTCCAGCCCTTTTCTCCCCTCACCTCTGATCCCCTCTCCACCTAGGTGTTTATAGCCCCAGCACTATTTTCTGCCCTGCAGTGCTGCATGACCCTTGTCAGCTTAGTTTTTATTTGATTATAATCTACTGTACCATGTTTTCAGTTGTCAGAAGTGATGCACTCTAGTTTTATTGTAAAAATTATCTGAAGTTCATATATGATATGATAGTATATGGTATGCTAATCATTTTGCCTTGCAGTCACAGGGTAAGATAAATTGTGATAATTAGAAAAGCTGTGGAAAACTGCATAACCAGCTTAGTGCATATGCTTAGATTCTCACTATGCTGCTTACATAATTTAATGTTTGAAGCAAATATTTGAATAAATGTGCAGGGCAAAGAAATCTAACCAGGCATTACTTAGCAGTGGGTGAATTTTTTACTTTTATTTTTTATAAATACTTGCAAGACAAATTATACAATATGCATTATCTACATGTTGTGGTGAGGGGATTATAGCAATGAATTAATTCACTGTTTAAAAAAAAAACTGACTAGTTCAAACATGTGCAATGCAGCATTGTAATTGGTTCTTGCATCTGTATCACTAGTGTTGAACCTTTCCCCTCAAGCTAGGTTCCTTGATGCTGGTGAGGAGTTCCTGATCCAAGGAATTTGACTTGTGCTTCCCTTCCTTGACTCGAACCTGAATGCCTCCAATCCCCCAGGTACTGCATAACCCCTATGAGTTTAGTGCTCTCCTATAAATATACTAATATAACTAAAGCCTTTTTCACTTGTGAAATAGAATTAACAAATATATCTAGTCAGCAAATAACTACTTGTCATTTATTGAAAAAAATATATTTATAATATCTTGTTGAGTCTTGGTGATAATCTTTTGCATAGCCTTTTCATATATTATCTACAATATAAAATTAAGCTTTCAGTTATGTATTTCATATTAGTCACAATAGGTTGTTTGAATTATCCATAACTAATATTCATGTAAAAATTAATTTTTACATAGTTTTAAGTTTCCTATTGTCATTTGGTTTTCACTTTAAAATGATTTATACTGTTAAATGTTAAAACAGCCAGGTTTCGAGTTATTGCAGTACTCTGCTCAGAATCAGTGACTTACATAAAATGGATAGGTTATTGCTGTGCTTTGGTCTCAAGTTGTAAAAATAAAATGCTATTTTTGGCTTTTTTTCTATAAATATTGGATACATTTAAATAAAATAAAATGTGAATACTGTAATTCTCTCTACCCCTCCAGGTGCAGTGTTTCATGACCAACAAAAGTTGTGCTTACTTTAGAATTACTATAATTCTTCACCAGAAAGGATTTTGACTAGGCAAGTAAAGAACAAATTACTGTACAGCATAGTACTCATGGCCATTTTTTTTAAATCCTTGTCTGCTGTGGGACACTTTGCCTAAGATATGAATTGAGTATTGACTAAGATCACTTAGAAAAATTTCTGGTGCTTTTGCAAATATTGCTTGGTTAAGCTCATTGTTCACCATATTCTAATAGTTTATCCTATTGGAGAGAATGCAGCATTAATTTTTAACATGTGAAATATGATGGTGTATGATCAGGCCTAAAGTCCTACTTCCAATGTAGATTGATGTAAAAAAAAAATTTTTTTATGCATGAAGTCCTCTCAGGATTAGCATTTCATATGATTATTTATGGTGGAAGAACTAAACCCATATACACAGAGTAATAGTAAACAGTAAAGTCAGGGGCAGCTACAGTGGAAACTGTTCCACAAGGTACAGTATTCATTCCCATCCTGTTCCTTATGCTGTTGAGAGCCTCTATGCTGAAGCGAATGTTCCATCCTTGTCTGATCACCGTGATGCCCATTGCCTTCGCTACTATGTACGCTCTCACGATCTCCACAATCCTTCCATTTATAGAATGGTCACCGATATTAGTAGACATTCTTTATTTGTTCGCCGCCCGTTTGCTCCGTCCCTTTTCTCTTCGCCTACATTCGCTCTTGTCTTCCCTTCGGTTACCACCTTTATATGTTCATGTAGCATCTCGCTTTTCCCTACCCCCCTGGGAAGTTCCAGCTGTTCGGGTCTGTTCTTTCTCACTCCCTTGCTCGAAAGCCCAACTGCCTACGGTGGCTTCCCGCTCTCTTTTTCTTGATCACTTCCACTCCCATTCTCATGCCATCGCTGTGTACACAGATGGCTCTAAGTCTTCAGACGGCGTCGGATTCACAGCAGTGTTTCCGGACAGCGTCGTGCAGGGGCATTTACTATCTTTAGCTAGCATTTTTACTGCTGAATTGTATGCCATTCTTGCAGCACTTATTCGTATCGCATCTATGCCTGTGTCATCATTTGTGGTAGTCTCAGACTCCCAGAGTGCTCTACAGGCTATACGAAAATTTGATACATCTCTCCCCTAGTTTTCTGTATCCAACTTTGGCTACGCCGCATCTTTACCAAGCATAAAGATATTGTTTTTTGTTGGGTCCCTGGTCATGTTGATGTACAGGGCAATGAACAGGCAGACACTGCTGCGCGGTCAGCAGTACATGACCTACCAGTTTCATATAGAGGTATTCCATTTACGGACTATTTTGCTGCAATATCTTCCCACCTTCACACCCGTTGGCAACAACGTTGGTCTACTATGCTTGGCAGCAAACTTCAATCTATTAAACCGAGCATAGGTTACTGGCCGTCGTCTTATCACCAGTGTCGAGGTTGGGAGACAACTCTCTCCCGTCTTCGTATTGGCCATACTCATCTTACTCATGGATATCTCATGGAGAGGCGCCCTGCTCCTCTCTGTGAGAATTGCCAAGCTCCATTATCAGTCAGCCACATTATGTTGGACTGCCCACTTTATCGACGAGCACACAGAATTTACCTCCGTCGTCTTCGCTCCACTGCTCTCTCTTTACCTTCCCTTCTCGCTGATGGACCCACCTTTCATCCGGACTCTCTCATTGACTTTTTGACAACTGACTGACTTCACAAATTCTGATACCTTCAGCCCTTTCTACTTCAATCTCTTGCTACCCTCTACCCCCGTACTATCCCCTGCCCCGCTGTTTTCTGTAACCTACTGATCATCCCTCCTCCCTTCTGCAATCCAATACCCTTGCTTCCTTCCCTACCCTGCAGCGTTGTATAGCCCTTGTGGCTTAGCGCTTCTTTTTGATTATAATAATAATACCCACCTTCACACCCGTTGGCAACAACGTTGGTCAACTCTGCTTGGTAACAAACTTCATTCTATTAAACCGAGCATAGGTTACTGGCCGTCTTCTTGTCATCAGTGCCAAGGTTGGGAGACCGCTCTCTCCCGCCTTCGCATTGGCCACACTTGTCTTACGGGTATCTCATGGATTATTATAATCAAAAAAGAAGAGCTAAGCCACAAGGACTATACAGCAGGTATCTCATGGAGAGGCACCCTGTTCCTCTCTGTGAGCAGTGTCAAGTTCCAGTATCGATTAGCCACATTCTATTAGACTGCCCTCTCTATCAACGAGCACACAGAATTTACCTCCAACGTCGTCTTCGTTCTACTACTCTCTCTTTACCTTCCCTTCTTGCTGATGGACCCTCCTTTAATCCTGACTCTCTCATTGACTTCTTGACAACGACTGATTTACTCCACAAACTCTGATGATACCTTTCGCACTCCCCTCAGCCCTTTCTAGCTCAGTCTCTTTCTGCCCTTTACCCTTTCACCATCCACTGCCCCGCTGTTATCCGTAACCTATTACTCATCCACCTCCCTTTTGCCACCTGATACCCTCGCTTCCTTCCTGCCCTGCAGCGCTGTATAGCCCTTGTGGCTTAGCGCTTCTTTTTGATTATAATAGTATACAGTAGTGTACTGTATAACGAAATAAACAATAGAGGGAATCAGCTCTAATGTACATTATTTAGGTATAAATACTGGTCAGAGAGCCCACTGAAAGTCCGAGGCATCAGTAAACGAGTACATCGCTAAGTGAGGAGAGGCTGTAATTACAAATGTAAACACATGGATAATGAATTGAATTGTAATTATTTCATGCTCAAAGTTGAGGCCAACCTCCTATTCGTGAAAATACAATGTTCATGAGGAATTGGAATACCTAGAAAAAAATTTCTTATGGTGAACCCCTCCAGAGGTGCTGTGATAGCAGCAAGGGGCTTTTGATTTATCTGTAATATACGAATCTGCTGTCATGCGTAATTTATTAGGATTAAAACGGGTAATGACTACAGCAAAGTAACAAGGCTATTAATTTTGTTTCTTACAACACTGCATATACAATTATAATGCTTTGCAAATACAGTTCAACCTCAACATTTTAACCTGCTAGCACCTCACATGAAACTCAAAATTGCTTTATTACCCACATAGGGCTGACACTTTGAATGCACCATCAAATTGTTCATTTTTTTTAATATAAGTATGGTAGGCATTTCTATATCCACATTACCTGCACTGTATGACCCTTTCGGGTTCAGCACTTATTTTGATTACACTATACTCATACACTAGTGCTTCAAATCCACATACTGGAGCTTATTCAAGTTGGAAGTATTCCTATATGCAGTTCTCAAATCCATCCTTACATATTCAGAATTTGAATTAAGATAGTCATATTAACCAAAAAAAAAAAAGTGGCTGATTCCACAATTTCAATCTTCCTTACAAATTACTTTTACTTTGATTAGCATATTGATGAGAATAATAATAATATAAACTGTTATCTAAAGATATTCTACTTTAATTCTCAAGGGAGGTTCCTTGATGCTGGTGAGGGGCTCTTGATCTAGGGAATTGGATCCATGCTCCAGTTCCCTGAAGTGAGCCTGAATACCTTCCCTCCCACAGGCACTGTATAATCCCTACTTACCTTTCTTGTACATATCAAGAGTTTATTATTCATATATAAATCTTTTTCTACACTGCAGATAGTTAAATATTACCAAACGTTTTTTTTCCATATTGCTTTTTCTTCATATGTGGTTGAGGGAATTTGGCTAGTGGGATTTTGAGTACATAGGAATGTTTTTCAGCCACGTATGTTGCTCCAACCACTTTCATGAGGATGTTAAGCCTGAAAAATAAAATTAGTACAAATGTATGTATGCCATGTGGGAGAACAAATTTAATAACACTTATTAACAATAATAGAAGAAATTGTTTTTTATACCTTATTGGCCATCTCCCACTAAGGCAGGGTAGCCCCAAAAATGAATCGCATTTACCATCATTCATTCACTGTCTTGCCAGAAGCGTTCTAACATCAATTCAAATGACCCTCTGTCCAGAAGCCAGGCACTGTCCTTCTCACCTTAACCCCTTCAGGGTCCAAGGCCCATATCTGAAGTGGTGCCCCAGTGTCCAAGAATTTTCAAAAAAAAAAATTTTATTTTTTCTTATGAAATGGTAGAGAATCTTTTTGTGAAGGTAATAAAACAAAAAGTACGAAATTTGGTGGAAAATTGACGAAATTATGCTCTCGCGAATTTTGATGTGTCAGCGATATTTACGAATTGGCGATTTTGCCGACTTTGACTCCCATTTTAGGCCAATTACATTATTCCAGTCAACCAAATTCTTAGCTATTTCACTAGTATTACTTATATTCTATCGATTGAGCACAAGAAATCGCCAAGTCAACTGTTTCAACTACAAATTAAAGTGATCGGAAATTGTTAATTTGGCCAATTTAACACAAGTTCAAAATATTCCAATTTCAAAATAGGGTCCAGAATAAACAATGTAGGTATTCCTGGAACTAAACTAACATTTCCTCTGTTCATTAGTTACGTTTTGAGGCTTTACAAATAAATTCCATTTTGATTTTTTATTCACACCAAAAAATAGAAGATTTACTGTTATGCAATACTGTAATAATTGTATAAATATCATCACCATATTTGTGAATGCATATTAGACCCACCAGCTGTCGTGTATTAGACGTGAGGTCGTTTGTTTACTCTTGAATATCGGCAAAAATTTAACATTTCTGCTACTTTGAGCTCAGTTTCAAGCCATTTCCATTGCTAAAACCAATCAAAATCATCTCTATTTCTGTAATATGTCTTCCATTCTATCAAATGAGACCAAGAAATCTCAAATAGAACTATAAAAAACATACGAAAAACACTGCAAAGTCGCTGTTTTAATCGAAAAATCATGATTTCAGTTTTTTTCTCTCATTATACACAGCGTGCTGCGGGATCTGTTTTATGTGGTGCACACATACCACAGATGTATTCTCTCATATCTAGGCCCAAATGTACCACTCACAGTTTATCAGAGTGAGCCGAGCTCATGACGTAGATCTACGGTTTGGACCCTGAACGTAAAGCCGTAGATCTACGGGACAGACCCTCAAAGGGTTAAAGACTAAAGTTCAGGTCAACTGGTTTTCCCTGAAACTTCTCATAAATGTTACAGACACTTCAACAGCAGGTTTCAAGTGCTAGGAGCTTGAGTATACCACAGGCTTCTGTGAATGTGTTTTTTTTAGGGCTTCATTGTGAGCAAAGTACAGTAGGGTGCATATTAATTGGGCCAGTGATGAAAGACATATATTTGAAATATTAAATCAATTTTCAGTCATATTGCCATGTATAAGAGATATGACTACCCTGTACTTTTATAAGCATTGCTATGTGCTTTGGCATAGTATCAACCAGTGAACATATTTTGGCAAGTTCTTTGTGGTACCAGGTCCTACTAACAACAGCAATTAGCTTCTCCACAGTTGACCAGTCCTATTTTGGAATCCTGTGTTTGGTTATTTATTCACTATTACAGTTAGTACAAGTACTGTCACTTTTTTGGGGCTATACATTTTCTTTGATGTCATGGAAAGCACATTTTATTTGTATGTACAGTATTCAGAATCAGGGAAAAATGCAGTATACCACATATATTCATGTACAGGTTGAGATTTTAAGACCAAACTTTTCAGCAAAAAGTCAGGGGTTGACCAATTTATGGATACTCCTTTTTAAAGGTAGAAATTCTGATATACTAAGGGCCTACTACACATTAGATTCTTCTTTGGTACATCAAGGTATAAAGCACATTCGGGTCCCATTGCTCAATCGCTAGCGCACTCAGCTCACACACTGAAGTCTCCAGTACAGCTGGAAAACACTAGGGACATGTTTCCATAAGACACCTGGTGTCTTTGTTTACCCATCACCTGGGACAAAACTGACTTAATTTGCCTGAAATACTCAGCATAACAAGCAGCTTTCTATAGTATGTCACTGTTGTCAGCTAGACCTGTATACCTTGCACATGTACTTGTAGAAATAAAAATATTATTATATTTAATACACTAATTTGATAATATCCAGTTGATCATGCTGGCCTCTTCCCTCACTTCATTAACCCTTTGACTGTCGCAAGCCCCTTTCTGAAACTGTCATTCTACGCCAAAAAAATTTTGGAAAAAAAAAAAATTCTTATGAAATGACAGAAACTTTTCCAATGGTAATGACACCAAAAGTATGAAATTTGATCGAAAACTTACAGAATTACGCTCCCGCGAAGTTGGCAATATATACACAGCGGTGATTTTGCCGAATTTGAGCCGTTTTCGGCCAATTCCATTGTTCCAGTCAACCAAACTCATAGCTATTTCTTTAGAACTCCATTTTTTCTATCAACTGAGTATAAGAAATCACCCATTTACCAATTTCAACTACCCAATAAAGTGGTCAGAAATTGGCAATTTGACCAATTTCATACAAATTAAAAAAGATACCAATTTCAAAATAGGGTCCAGAATAAACAATGCAGACATTCTTGGCACTAAAATAACATATCCTCTGTTCATTAGTCACATCTCTAGGCCACTCTTATATTACTCTTGCTTTCTATTTTGATTTTTTATTCACCCAAAAAATAGATTTACTGTTATGCAGACTACTGCATTATTGTAAAAATGGTATAAATAATATCAGTGCACTAGTGAAAGAATATCAGACTCGCCAGTTGACGTGTGGAGTGATTTGATTACTCTTGAACATTGGTAAAAAATCGAACATCTCCGCTATTTTGAGCTCAATTTCAAGGTTGTTTTCATCGTGAAACTAATCAAAAATCATCTCTATTCCTGTAGTATGTTTTCCATTCTATCAAATAAGACCATGAAAATGAGAATACAACCATAAATACTATACAAAAATACACCTCAAATTCGGTGTTTTAATCCAAAAACATGGTCGTAGTTTTTTTTTTCTCGTGCACTGTGTATTGCAGGATTTTTTTATACAGTGCACACAGACCCATTCTCTCACATGTGAGTCTACCAGCTTTCTCCTGCTTGATTTGAAGCTGATAGAATTATTGAGTATATATACATCTGAAACACTGGCTCATAAGGCATATACATATATGCAACCAAAACAGTCAAAGGTTAACATATAATAGAGGAGCACTGCAGAAGGCCTACTATCCCATGCTAGGTAAGTCCATACAAATCCAACTCCCCCATCCCCACTCGCATATCTATCCAACCTATTTTTAATGTCACCCAAGGTTTTAGTTTCAATGATCAAAGGAGGGAAGACAATACACAAATTACCTGTACATAAGAGACCAATTTGGATCATTAACTAGTCACAAAGAAGCACGAAGGGGAGCAGGAGACTGCAGAAGGGAGTAATAATAATGTAGTAATAGCACCTGCCCTGCTCTGCCTTTAGTCACTTAACCTAAAACCTTGGGTAGCCTTAAAAATAAGCGAGTGAGAAAAGTTGAAACTGAGTAAAACCTGCCTAGCATGGGCTGGTAGGTCTACCTAAGTGTTCCTAGTTTATCTTGGAGCCTGTGTTAAGAAGTAGGCAGCCAAATGGCTAAATAACAACATACCTGTCTCGAGTGATTGGCAGGGACTGAAGCAGTGTGTTGACTAATAACTTGTATTTCATCACTATTAAAGACAAAATCAAAACACAGCAAGTAGCACTGTCCTCATTGTGAGTTGAGCGTACCCTGAAAACAATGATTAACACTGACAATAGGATAAAGATGGCTCCAGTCTTTACAAAATCATGACTTTTTTTTTTAGTGTAGATCTAAGACTGAAAACTATACTGTAAAATATTTCTGAAGAAAAGTTTGACATGCATTCCAAACAATTCACATGATAGCCCAATTTAGCTATCATGTAGTTCAAACACCTGCTATTTATTTACTCTTGATAAATGAGAAATATTACTTATGGTAAAGGAAATTTGGATGTGGAGAAAAATAAAGGGGACTTTTATATAAGTAGCAGAACATTTGGTTCACATAAAAGACCTGAGTCGGTAAAGATATGGGAAAGTCTCCCAACATCCCATGTTTGCGTAGCAGTCAATATTTACCTGGCTGTAAACCCTATATAGGTTTTGCATCTTCAGGGATACTAATATACCATAGAATGAGGAAATCTTTGAAGTGAGCTCATGCAGAATACCTGACTGACAATAGCTGTATAGTCCTTGTGGCTTAGCGCTTCTTTTTGATTATAATAATAATAATGGACTGACAATTGAATTGTGTACAAGAGAAAAACCGACTACTGTAGGCAGTGCTTCCAGAGAAAAGTAATGTCAACTGATTAACTACCTTAAAAAAACTGATTAGAGTACATTTACACTTCATCAAAACATTAATATTTTACTAAACGTTATACAGTACGTCCCCTCGAGGAAGGTTCCTCGACATTGGTGAGGGGCTGTAGATCTAGGGAATTGGATCTGTGCTCTGGTTCCCTGAACTGAGCCTGAATACCATCCATCCCCCCTCCCTCACAGGGGCTGTATAATCCTATGGGTTTGGCGCTCCCCTACGATTTGAACCTGAATATTCACCTCCCATTTCCCCAGATCCTGTATGACCCCTATGGTTTTAGGGCTCCTCAAAGAATGACAGAGAGCATACATGACTTAAGGGGAGGAGAATGTGCAAGAACTATAAGTGGATAAACCTGTTGAGTATACCTGGTAAAGCATACAGTAGAAAAGTTAAAGGTACAATTAAACAGGATTGTGGAAAAACAAGGAGGATTTAGGAAGGGTATGTAATGTATAAGACTAGTATTTACATTTAAATGTGTAAGTGAATAATAGACTAGGGTAAGGATTGTGGTGCATCTATAGATCTAGAAAAGGCATATGATATATAGAACAGGAGAGCAATGTGGTAGATGTTGCAAATGTGTGGCATAAGTTGTGTTATTAAAAGCAGTAGAGAGATTTTATGAGAATGAGGCTTAGGGCACGTGAAGAAGGGGACCATTTACTAGTAAAAGTTGGCCTTAGGCAATAATGTGTGATACCACCAAGGTTGTTTAATATCTTTGTAGATGAGGTTTTAAGATTAGAAAATAACGGATATGAAGTGGGAATTGTCACAACTGCTCTTTGCCAATAACAGTTCTTTTGGGAGATCCTGAAGAGAAGTTTCAAGGGCTGGTGTTCAAAGTTCTGGAGATAGTCAATGTGGTAAAAATAAGAGAAAATAAAATAAGTGGAGATTTGAACTAATGGAGTGTTTAGTTATTTTAATACTTTCCCAACTGCAATTAGAAATGGAGCACTACTCTGTATATAGGTGCCATCTCACAGCTTACCTCTTATTGTAATGAATTTGGGAATACTCATTCAAAATATAGTGCTTTATCTTTAGAGGACATCCTTTCAGGGTTTTTTCCTGAGTCTTTAAGTCTTGTATTTCTCGACGCCTGAGCTTCAGAAAGTTCACCAAGTACTCCACGTACACAGCTACACAAGTTAATCGTATCCGATTTTCTTCGTCTTTCTCCAATTTAGCACTTTCTAACAATTCTTGGAACAGTGCTGAGCTCCTGTTGGTCAAAGAATATTATAAACTATTATCTTTTATCTGCAGTTCAATTATTTTTTCACAGCTTTAAGAAACTAGTATTTGCTTATTTGTGCAAAACTCAATACACATAGCAATGTGTAAAATTACAAATGTTTTAAGAATTTTTTTGTATATATGATACATGCATGTGGACAGTAAACTGACTGAACTTTGGGCATAATGTTCATGTGAATAAAAAATGGCCATTCACAACCAGAGAAGAAATACGGCAAATCAAAATTTAGATGCAATTTCACAATAAAAAAAGATGCTAAACTGGTAAACTATTTAAAGCATTAATCAAAATGTAGCAGTACAGTAAGTCCATTAACCAATGGACAAATTTTCCAGCAGTAAATTACAATATTTCATGCTTCAGCTTTAACTCATGAATGACTAGTCTTATACTTTCCTTTCTCTTACAAACTTTAACTTTACACTTTTTACCCTCCTTACTATTTGCTGTCAGTTTACAAAGAAAAAAATTTTCAATGACAGAACTCGTCTGTTCAAAGTGTATTGCCTGCAGGCCTGACTAGCGAGGCAAATAAATCACTGTACTGTACTCTTCTACATATCCTAAAAGCTCTATTTTGTTAGCCCACAAATACTGAATGAAAATTTTGATAATATTGCTTCAATAGATATTAAGTTATGTTACTTCATTCATTATTAAAAAAGTTATAGCAAAGTTAAATAAAATATATTATACATCAGCAATGATAAAAAAAAATTCTTTAAATATTACTGTTTATAATATGTTTCTGTTTGAAAGCACTGTATTCATATTTAAATTACTGTATCAGATGTGATCAATACAATGTAAAAAACTACCATAATTCTAAGGATTTGTTTGCCCATGTCAAAAATCTCAGACTGAATTTGGGTGATTTTATTATAAGCAGACAAAGAATTTGATAAAATTTTCTCTGATTTGAATAATAAAAAGTATGTAATATAAGGAATAAAAATGATCTTTTCCTTACTAATAGACAGCAATACGCTTTGATCAAAGGCATCATCCTCAACAAGACTCCTGGATACTGGTGTACCACAGGGAAGCGTTCTTGGTCCCCTACTTTTCCTTTTATACATCAATGACCTTCCAAGCATATCTCAACAACGAGGAGAAATTTCAACTACTCAAATATGGGAAACTTGAGGAAATTAAAAATGTATCAGTGTATACGACAAATTCTAACCATACAATAGAGCGGAAAAGTAATGTGAAGGACCTAGGAGTGATAATGTCAGAGGATCTCGCCTTCAAAGACCACAACAATGTATCTACCTCATCTGCTAGGAAAATGATAAGATGGGTAATGAGAACCTTCAAAACTAGGTATGCCAAGCCCATGATGATTCTCTTCAAATTGCTTGTGCTCTTTAGGCTCGAATACTGCTATACACTAACGGCCCCCTTCAAGGTTGCGACATTGCAGACCTGGAGAGTGTACAAAGAACTTTCACGACACAAATAAGTACGATAAGGCATCTAAATTACTGGGAACGGTTGAAGGTCCTTGATCTGTATTCCCTGGAACGCAGGCGAGAGGAATACATGATAATTTACACTTGGAAGGTCCTGGAGGGATTGGTACCAAACTACAGTGGACCCCCGCATAACGATCACCTCCAAATGCGACCAATTATGTAAGTGCGTTTGTACGTGTATGTTTGGGGGTCTGAAATGGACTAATCTACTTCACAATATTCCTTAAGGGAACAAATTCGGTCAGTACTGGCACCTGAACATACTTCTGGAGTGAAAAAATATCGTTAACCGGGGGTCCACTGTATTTTATTATTTTTTTTATTATCACACTGGCTGATTCCCACCAAGGCAGGGTGGCCCGAAAAAGAAAGACTTTCACCATCATTCACTCCATCACTGTCTTGCCAGACGGGTGCTTTACACTACAGTTTTTAAACTGCAATATTAACACCCCTCCTTCAGAGTGCAGGCACTGTACTTCCCATCTCCAGGACTCAAGTCCGGCCTGCCGGTTTCCCTGAACCCCTTCATAAATGTTACTTTGCTCACACTCCAACAGCACGTCAAGTATTAAAAACCATTTGTCTCCATTCACTCCTATCAAACACGCTCACGCATGCCTGCTGGAAGTCCAAGCCCCTCGCACACAAAACCTCCTTTACCCCCTCCCTCCAACCTTTCCTAGGCAGACCCCTACCCCGCCTTCCTTCCACTACAGACTGATACACTCGAAGTCATTCTGTTTCGCTCCATTCTCTCTACATGTCCGAACCACCTCAACAACCCTTCCTCAGCCCTCTGGACAACAGTTTTGGTAATCCCGCACCTCCTCCTAACTTCCAAACTACGAATTCTCTGCATTATATTCACACCACACATTGCTCTCAGACATGACATCTCCACTGCCTCCAGCCTTCTCGCTGCAACATTCATCACCCATGCTTCACACCCATATAAGAGCGTTCGTAAAACTATACTCTCATACATTCCCCTCTTTGCCTCCAAGGACAAAGTTCTTTGTCTCCACAGACTCCTAAGTGCACCATTCACCCTTTTCCCCTCATCAATTCTATGATTCGCCTCATCTTTCATAGACCCATCCGCTGACACGTCCACTCCCAAATATCTGAATACATTCACCTCCTCCATACTCTCTCCTTCCAATCTGATAGCCAATCTTTCATCACCTAATCTTTTTGTTATCCTCATAACCTTACTCTTTCCTGTATTCACTTTTAATTTTCTTCTTTTGCACATCCTACCAAATTCATCCACCAATCTCTGCAACTTCTCTTCAGAATCTCCCAAGAGCACAGTGTCATCAGCAAAGAGCAACTGTGACAACTCCCACTTTATGTGTGATTCTTTATCTTTTAACTCCACGCCTCTTGCCAAGACCCTCGCATTTACTTCCCTTACAACCCCATCTATAAATATATTAACAACCACGGTGACATCACACATCCTTGTCTAAGGCCTACTTTTACTGGGAAATAATTTCCCTCTTTCCTACATACAATAACTTGAGCCTCACTATCCTCGTAAAAACTCTTCACTGCTTTCAGTAACCTACCTCCTACACCATACACCTGCAACATCTGCCACATTGCCCCCCTATCCACCCTGTCATACACCTTTTCCAAATCCATAAATGCCACAAAGACCTCTTTAGCCTTATCTAAATACTGTTCACTTATATGTTTCACTGTAAACACCTGGTCCACACACCCCCTACCTTTCCTAAAGTCTCCTTGTTCATCTGCTATCCTATTCTCTGTCTTACTCTTAATTCTTTCAATAATAACTCTATCATACACTTTACCAGGTATACTCAACAGACTTCTCCCCCTATAATTTTTGCACTCTCTTTTGTCCCCTTTGCCTTTATACAAAGGAACTATGCATGCTCTCTGCCAATCCCTAGGTACCTTACCCTCTTCCATACATTTATTAAATAATTGCACCATCCACTCCAAAACTATATCCCCACCTGCTTTTAACATTTCTATCTTTATCCCATCAATCCCGGCTGCCTTACCCCCTTTCATTTTACCTACTGCCTCACGAACCTTCCCCACACTCACAACTGGCTCTTCCTCACTCCTACAAGATGTTATTCCTCCTTGCCCTATACACGAAATCACAGCTTCCCTATCTTCATCAACATTTAACAATTCCTCAAAATATTCCCTCCATCTTCCCAATACCTCTAACTCTCCATTTAATAACTCTCGTCTCCTATTTTTAACTGACAAATCCATTTGTTCTCTAGGCTTCCTTAACTTGTTAATCTCACTCCAAAACTTTTTCTTATTTTCAACAAAATTTGTTGATAACATCTCACCCACTCTCTCATTTGCTCTCTTTTTACATTGCTTCACCACTCTCTTAACCTCTCTCTTTTTCTCCATATACTCTTCCCTCCTTGCATCACTTCTACTTGTAAAAACTTCTCATATGCTAACTTTTTCTCCCTTACTACTCTCTTTACATCATCATTCCACCAATCGCTCCTCTTCCCTCCCGCACCCACTTTCCTGTAACCACAAACTTCTGCTGAACACTAACACTACATTTTTAAACCTACCCCATACCTCTTCGACCCCATTTCCTATGCTCTCATTAGCCCATCTATCCTCCAATAGCTGTTTATATCTTACCCTAACTGCCTCCTCTTTTAGTTTATAAACCTTCACCTCTCTCTTCCCTGATGCTTCTATTCTCCTTGTATCCCATCTACCTTTTACTCTCGGTGTAGCTACAACTAGAAAGTGATCTGATATATCTGTGGCCCCTCTATAAACATGTACATCCTGAAGTCTACTCAACAGTCTTTTATCTACCAATACATAACCCAACAAACTACTGTCATTTTGCCCTACATCTTTATCTTGTATACTTATTTATCCTTTTTTTTAAAAAATATGTATTACCTATAACTAAACCCCTTTCTATACAAAGTTCAATCAAAGGGCTCCCATTATCATTTACACCTGGCACCCCAAACTTACCTACCACACCCTCTCTAAAAATTTCTCCTACTTTAGCATTTAGGTCCCTTACCACAATTACTCTCTCACTCAGTTCAAAAGTTCCTATACATTCGCTTAACATCTCCCAAAATCTCTCTCTCTCTCTCCTCTACATTTCTCTCTTCTCCAGGTGCATACACGCTTATTATGACCCACTTTTCGCATCCAACCTTTACTTTAATCCACATAATTCTTGAATTTACACATTCATATTCTGTTTTCCCCCTTCCCATAACTGATCCTTCAACATTACTGCTCCCCCTTTTCCTTTGCTCAACTCTCTCAGATACTCCAGATTTAATCCCATTTATTTCCCCCCCACCGAAACCTCCCCTACCCCTTTCAGCTTTGTTTCGCTTAGGGCCAGGTACCAAACCTGCACACAAAAATCACTCCCTGTGAAGCCAAAGCCCTCAGCAGGAGATACAACATTTCCCTGATGAAAAGCAGGGGTGCCACGAGTACAGTGAGAGAACACAATAAGTGGCCTGGGGCACTTATTGTGCATACATAAGGGGAATTACCAAAAAAACCCCTGGCTGTCTTTAGAAGCCACTGGTCATGCACCTAAAGTCAGCACCTGACCAACCGGGCCCTTTTCCCCCGCCCCCCCCCTTGGTTCGTAGTCCAGTTTGCGTGTGACCAGCAGTAACAGCCTGGTGATCAGACCCTGATCCACCCATGAGGCCTGGTCTCAGATCGAGCACTGGGGCACTGACTCCTGAAACCCTTCCGGGAAAAACCTATTCTCTTTGCTGACAAAAAGACTTTTACATTTCTCAACACTAATCTAGCCTCACTCAATATTACTGTTAAATGAAGGCTCGCAAAAATACAACTGGAAAACTGTCAATAAATTTACACTGAATACAGACAAAACCTTTTACATTATGTTTGGGAGTAGAGCAAGTGAGGCCCAATTAAACATTATGCTTAACAACATCCTTATTGCTAACATAATGAGGGAAAACCCTGGGTCTACACCATGACAGCAACCTGAAATTCAACAACCCATATCAAACACATAACAAAAAAGTATCCAAAACAGCTGGCACCTTTTTAAAGATAACCCTACTATTGTACTACAAACAAGCACTAACTTACACACTTTTCACTGATCTACCCCTTCCTCACTTATGAAATTTTGGGTGTTGGGCCCAACACAACACAAATGAAAAGATAATACTAACCCAACAAAAACCTGCAGTGTGAATGACCCACACAATCCACATTTAGACAACCCCCACCCCTTTTTCAAAGACCTTAAAACTCTCACTTTACAAAACATCCACTCATACTACTGTGCAAACAACTTTATGAACAGTCCATTCTAATATAAATCCTACCTGAAGTGCATTCTTGAACGTTGAAAATAGGACCCATGGAAAACAATACTAACAATGTACATCAAAGGACCCAAAATCTGAAATACACTGCAGAAATCTTTTGAACCACTGGACTCCGGCAAGCATTTTAAACTACAGTTAGAAAACAACCTTTGTCCTAATCCATCCTAGCCCAATCAAAAAATATGTAAAAACCTATATGGCATTTGCTCAAATCATGAACTTTAGGTAAATCATTAAATCAATATATGCTTTTTCTCAAAATTGTAATCATCTCAAAGGTAATGTTAATTATTTCCCATTGTGTCTACCTTAGGTAAATATCAAACTGTAATTCTTCTCTACCAAACTTATTAAAGCCCAATAGCATGAACAATATAATAAAAAATTTCTTGTATTCACTGTAACTTGCCTAATGGCCAGATTACAATTTACCCTGTTATTGCTATTAATCTTAAGTTTGCCTGAAATGCTCTGATATAAAGGGCTTTGAACATATACATAAACTGTTTACTCCTTTGTCAACATGTAATCTGATAATAAAAATTATTATTATTGATACAATTCTAAATTATTTCAAAAGAACTCACTAAAAGGATTAAGGAATACCAGAAAATTAAACATACCCAATTACAACCATTAAAATTTCCTTAAAATTACTTAGGCTGTGGATCCTTTCCTTTAAAATCCTCTTGCAAATGCTGCCAGTGCGCAAGAAGTTGTCAGGAGGCAATAGCCTCTAAACTGTATACATCCTCTAGCTGACTTGCCTGTAGCAAAGGTACCAAAAATGACAGATTAACATTTCAAAAATGAAAATAAAGGCAGAAAGTTTTTGAGACAAAAAAACCCATTTCTGTTTTTTTGTATTCATTTTGTTACACACATTATTTTGATATATTATATTTTTATTTCTTTGCCTTCCATAAAGTTTTTTTTTTAACGAGTTTATTTAAATGGAAGGCAAGTCAGCTCATTTTGGCCGAGGCATTTTGATGTTGGTTCATCGGGACGCGAAAAAAGATTTGGTCGCAACAAGTGGTCAAAAGAAAGTGCGTGGTCGGTAATACCCCTGGTGAAGGGTATCCCCGTCCCTCCACAGTCTGTTTTATGGCTTTTAAAGGTCTGCTTTAACCTTAACAGCCTAACATGCAAGCATTTTTGGTTTATTTTTTATCAAGAAATGGAAAAAAATGTCAAGTTTGCAGGATGAAGGAGCAAAATGGAAGGAGACTGTGTTACTGTTATTATGAAAGGCCTGGGGGACGTGATAAGAACAGAGAGAAGGCTGCTTAGTGGCTAGAATGCTACTTGTTTGGAACTTTCTTATTAAACTGAATTTGTTAAAAATGCATTGGTGTAAAATTGGGCCCAAATTACAGAATTTTTTAGGCACAGACAGAGTATTTTGATGACTGATTGGGTAGTTGGTTGTAATCAATTGATAATACCAAAGTTAAATATTTGGGGAATTGGGTCAGTTTGAGTTCTACAATTGACCTAATTTTAAATTTAGGACTCAAAATGGGTGAAATCACTGTTGCATATAGTGCTCTCTGACCTCCATCTTCATGCATGCGTAAATCCTTAAGTATTACCCCCACATTAAATTTTGCATTTTTGGTTTTCAATCTTTAAGGAAAAGATTCTTTACCATTTTAGAATATAAAATTATTTATTAATTTTCAAAAATGATGACAGAAAAGGCTTTCAATTTGGAGGGTATCGACAGTAAAAGGGGTTAAGAGAGATGAATATCATAAATATACAATATACAGCTGACCTTGAACAATGGGGGGAAATTGGGGTACCGATTCCCCGAGCAGTCAAAAATCCGCAATAAATTTTTTTTTTTTAACACATCAGCTGATACCCCCAAAGGGCAGGGTGGCCCAAAAAGAAAAACTTTCATCATCATTCACTCCATCATTCTCTTGCCAGAAGGGTGCTTTACCCCTACAGTTATAAAACTGCAACATTAACCCCCCTCCTTCAGAGTGCAGACACTGTACTTCCCATCTTCAGGACTCAAGTCCGGCCTGCTGGTTTCCCTGAATCCCTTCATAAATGTTACTTTGCTCACACTCCAACAGCATGTCAAGTATTGAAAACCATTTGTCTCCATTCACGCCCATCAAATACACTCATGCATGCTTGCTGGAAGTCCAAGCCCCTCGCACAAAAAACCTCCTTTTCCCCGTCCCTCCAACCCTTCCAAGGCTGATCCCAAACCCCCCCTTTCCCCCACTACAGATTTATACACTCTCGAAATCATTCTGTTTTGTTCCATTCTCTCTACGTGTCCGAACCACCTCAACAACCCCTCAACCCTCTGGATAATAGTTTTGGTAATCCCACACCTCCTAATTTCCAAACTATGAATTCTCTGCATTATATTCAAAACCCACACATTGCCCTAGACATGACATCTCCATTGCCTCCAGCGTCCTCCTCGTTGCAACATTCATAATTTTTGACTCTCCAAAACTTAACTACTAATAGTTACTGTGACCAGAACCCTTACTGTTTAAACAGTCAATTAACACATTTTGTATGTTATGTGTATTACATACTGTATTCTTACACTAAAAAATCAAAAGGGGAAGAGAAAATACAGTTCAAGCACATGTTGTTCAAGGGTCATCTGTAATACTTTAGTTTACTCTTTACTTACCTCTCTATTACATTCTGGTAAATAGATAAAAATGTAGTCTCTGCCCTTTTTCTTCAAACTCACTAAGTTTAAAAATGGCAGATGTTGCAGCCTGACCAATTGCTTCAGACATGTTTTGTTTTAATCTCCTGTGAAAACAAAATATGAATACACTTACATTAAAATTACAGAATCAATGAACATACTATACCCCTTCAGACAATGACATCTACCAATAATATTAAATATACAGTAAACAAAAAATCTTTTGAGATATTCTGAAGAGAAGTTACAAATGGTTGATCAGACCCTGATCCACCACGTAGCCTGGTCTCAGATTGAGCTACGGGGGCGTTGACCCTGAAAACCCTCTCCAGGTAAACTCCAGGGTATGTAAAAGAAGGAAATTAAACATACTCCCAATACTGAACACATTCACTTCCTTACCCCCTCCTTCCAATCAGATATCTAATCTTTAATTACCTAAATTTTTTGTTACCCCTCATCCCCATGCTCTTTCCTATATTCACTTTTCATTTCCATCTTTTACATACCCCCCCCAAATTCATCACCATCCTTTGCAACTTCTCTTTTATTTCTATAAATGTTTAAACAGTGAAACCTCACCTAGTTATACAGAAAGTACTATACTAAATTGTTGACCAACATAACTATCATTATGGTATTATCTATAAGATTAGTTATCAAGTAGAATTAGGAATTATGTTTTTTCATGGAAAAAACAATACCCATAAGGGGTCATTCAGTGGTGCATGACAGGGAAAAAGAGATGAAGGGGAGGATGACTGGTGGAGGCGTTTAGGGAAGAACAACTGAAAACATGGAGCCCATAGTTGATGAAACCAGTTTCAGTTAAGAAATCCAAGAGTGTGTCTGCAGCAAAGGTGGAAGAGAAGAGCCAGTAAAGTAAGCATGCTGACCATTAGTATTAAAAGAAGTCAGTAAAAACTAAATTTCACTCGACTACTAAAACTAAGTTAACCATAAAAATAAAATACTGAATGTACTGCTCCAAACTTAATGATCAATAATAACTTTTAACTTTCTGTTCATGTAATTAGTAACTACTCTGCCAGAAATTTTGGACATAGGCTTTTTTTTAAGCCTCCTTTGAAATAAATTAGTTTTTTTAATAAATTTTATTATTAACCTCCATTCTTAAAGCAAACCCAGACTCACTTTATATTGCTTCTTGCGGTTGATATATTGCTGTGCTCTTTTAGTTCCAAATGCAGAGGCAGCCGCTTCTTGCTTCTCTTCATTAGTCATTGAGTTTAAGGTTTTAGATAAACGAACATTGGTAGTTTCAACTGGTTTTAACAGTGGGCTAACACAAAATGAGCTTGTTTCTACAAGTCTCATTTTTCCTGGGAAAACATTAATATTAATTAATATCAAGTCCATTATCCAATGGCAAGCACACTAACTTCACAATATTGCACACAACACTATTACTTGGCTAGCTTTCATATTTCTGATACAATAAAGTTTTTTTTTATCCCAATAAAGCAATAACTGCTGTTTCCTTTAATAACTTTCATTACTACCCAACTACAAAATAAATGCAAACCTGTAGCTTTATTTAGTATGCCAAGAAAAACATACTGCTTCTTATACATTTGACTGGCTTCTGTTCCAAAGTCCTTTCCAGCATAGTCTAATCTCCGAGTTTCTAATGTAAGGACTCGCCTTTGTTGACGACAATCTTTCGAGGCTTTCTGATGTAATATTCCATTCAACTCTGCATTCTTACAAGGCCTGCCATTTGCAAATTTAACTGAAAATACCAATAAAACATGACTAGCGGGGTACATAAATTTATACAAATAAAATTCCTTAGACCTGTATAAGGAACAATAATAAGGATAAAAAAAAAAATAACCAAAAAAAAATAACCAAGTTTTAAGAGGTTGAGCACCTGCCAAGCTTGTGAGAGTATGTTAGAAACGAATGAAAACAAGTGGTCTTTAATGGATGTTCTGTTGGAGTGTGAGCAGATTTTTTTCCTTTACAACATTTTGAAAATACTACTGTACCAGTAGTTATTTCTAAGTGGTCTATTTAGGAGTGTTTATGGCTTTTTTTTTTTTTAAATGGGGGGTATATTGTGGCAATTAGTGCAACCATTCATCTTTTTTTGTATCTTAACACAATGGCCATTTCCCACTGAGGCAGGGTGACCCCAAAAAGAAACACTTCATCATCACTCACTCCATCACTGTCTTGTCAGAGGTGTTCTCTGAACCAGTTATCTGCAACATGTGCAAATTACCTAGGACAGCCCAAAAAAATATCGGGAAAAAATGACATTTCTATTAGTCTGCCCGAAATGCAATACATGCTAATAACTTTCTTTTGTTCTTAATATTTTATTACATGTAAACTACATTTTGTATACTGCAGAAAAGAAATAAAGTTGTATAGTATTATATATATACTGTCTTTTTGGCCAAGATTTCTCCCATGAATAATAATAATAATAATTAATAATAATAATTAACAATAATAATACTTTATTTCTACAAATACATGGCACAACTTATAAAGTATCTACAAAAATTAGCTGAACCTAAAAGAAGCCTAAATTTTGTGTGAAATAACGCTGTATCTTAAGAAATCACTGAAGCTGTTGATCTGGTAAGCCGGTGTAAGGTGTTAGCTTCATGAAAACAGCAAAGTTACAATCACTTTAGTACCAGGGCCCCCGTGGCCTGGCTGGCAAAACTCTCACTTCACACGCTGAGGGCCAAGGTTCGATTCCAGGCAGGGTGGAAACACTTCGACAAGTTTCCTTACACCTGTTGTCTGGTTCACCTAGCAAGTAGGTACCTGGGTGTTAGTCGACTGGTGTGGGTTGCATCCTGTGGGACAAGATTGAGGACCCCAATGAAAATGAGAGACAGTCAGTCCCTCGATGATACACTGCCTTTCCTGGGTTATCCTGGGTAGTTAACCCTCCGGAATTAAAAGTCTGAACAAAATCATATAGCAGTAAGGTAAAATAATGAATAATTTAAATTTACCACTCTATAACGTAGGTCTAATTTTAAGTAGTGTGTAAGCATTAGGATTAGTCTGCCCGAAATGCACCAGCATATTAGGGACTTTCTTTGCACGTAACAACACTTTATAATGTGTAAATCACATATTGTAACTTTTACAAAGAAAAATTTGTATTTGGATGGTACTTCCAGACAAATCTACTAACTTAAGCTTAATATGCTTCACTAGCATTAGAATTATAACTAGTCACTACCTGCTTACCAAATATTGGTTCTACTCTTGATCTGTGCCTCTGGATAACATCTTCTATAACACATTTCTTCTTCTTCTTCTTCTTGAAAACAGGAGCAGCAACCATGCTGTCTTTTATTGAAGACATGGTGTTGTTGTTCTGGTGGGTTGTAAAGGCCAGTCACAGCCAACACTCACCAGTCCTGTAAGGTAGTTTATTTAAGCACAAGTACACACTACAATTATCATATATAGTGGAAATTATCTAGGATAATACCCCAAAAAATCAAAGTGGTTTATTTCCATTGGGATCCTTGATTATTTCCATTAAGATTCTTGATTATTTCCACTGGGGCCCTTTTAGGTTTGCTGCCTGATGTTCAGGGAAGAAATATTGCTCAAAGTTGTGACTTCAAATAAAAAAAATAGAACAGGAGTTTCATTTGAAAACAGAAACAGAAACTGGGAGTTCGCAATTAGGTCAAATGAATATCCTCCCCCATGGAAATAAGTCACTCTGTCTGACTTTTTTGGGCTATCCTAGGTTCTCTACACATATGCTGCCATGTATGATAATTCTATGTAACTGTATTTGTGTATACCTGAATAAACTTACTGACATACTTACTTATGATACCTAAGCCCAGGCAGAGCAGGACACCTACACCCTCACCTGAGTCAGTAACCAACTTTACACTAAAACCGTGAAATAAATACCTGAGGAGCGGAGAAACTGGGACTTATAAATGGCGACCCTCTTGCAATGTGCCCAGTGGGCAGAGTAAGAAGACAAGCGTCCCAGGGTTATCGAGAAAAATTTGTTCCCAATGCTTAGTCCAGAGCGACACAACTACACATCACCAGACGAGGGCATATTCACTGGTAGGCGGGATTCCCCAGTGGAAGTAGGTCCTTCCCAAAGAGATGGGAAACGTCTACAATAAAGATACCCAGATGTTGCACATGTGTCTTACTCTCATCTTGTCGGTATTATATACCATTCGTACAAAGTTCATGCATAATTGAGCACAGCTTCCCGGGAATCTGGAGTAAATGTTGCCAGAATCTGGACGGGAATTATAAATATAACGTTTCCTCCTATAAATATCTCTCGCAGTATGGTTTTATGGAGATGTTAATGACATAAAATACAGTGTGTACAGCTACAAGGCCATACACAGGAACATTACAACTCAGTGTCCAAACATCCAATTTTCCAAACACACCTCAATGCAAACCTTACAGCATATGACAAAACACATTCATAATAATAATAATATCTTTATTTACTACTACTACTGCACGCCTAGCGGACATAAATAACATACCACTATATAGAAAGCCGCTCGTTATGCAGAGCAGTATAATGGTACCGGGAATTTCCTTTTACTTGCCTAACCCTTGGGCACGAACCTACTTCCACATTTGACAAATGTGATACCACTATGACTGTTGCATTTTCTCCTGCCTACAGTTAATAAGCTACTTCGCACATATTTCTGTATTCTTTTCAAGACTGATGGACTGGACCACATCGACTCGAGGCTGAAGGACTGATTACCTCAAAATCCCGTTTTTTTCACCGTTCTCCTGCATATGGACTGATGAAGCCACTGTGTGGTGAAACGTTTCCTCATTAAAGATACCCAGGTGTTGCACTTGTGTCTGATTTATCAACTTAAACGGTTCTCTGAACCATTCATCTACATTTCTGATGAATCTATTAGCTCATGTGCAAGCTCCACGCAAATCCAACCCCTCTCACTCATGTATTTATCCAACCTAAACTTGAAACTACCCAAGTCTCAGCTTCTATCACTCTACTAGGCAGTCTGTGCCACTCATTTAAATATCCTGTTTCCAATTATTATTATAATCAAAAAGAAACGCTAAGCCACAAGGGCTATACAGCGCTGCAGGGCAGGGAAAGGAAGCGAGGGCATCAGGTGGCAAAAGGGAGGTGGATGAGTAATAGGTTACGGATAACAGCAGAGAAGTGGATGGTGAAAGGGTAAAGGGCAGCAAGAGACTGAGCTAGAAAGGGCTGAGGGGAGTGCATAAGGTATCATCATCAGAGTTTGTGGAGTAAATCAGTCATCAAGAAGTCAATGAGTCAGGATTAAAGGAGGGTCCATCAGCAAGAAGGGAAGGTAAAGAGAGAGTAGTAGAACGAAGACGGCGTTGGAGGTAAATTCTGCGTGCTCGTTGATAGAGAGGGCAGTCTAACAGAATGTGGCTAATCGATACAGGAACTTGACACTGCTCACAGAGAGGTACAGGGTGCCTCTCCATGAGATACCCGTGAGTAAGACGAGTGTGGCCAAGATACCCTTGGTACAGACCTGGAATCAACTACGACTACCTCTACTAATGAGAGCGGCTGGATTTGAGAGGGACCTGACCTCCCAACATCTGCGTTCTACTAGTGACCTGTCTCACCTCCTGGCGCTATATAAGGTTCCATCCTGTCACTTCATCTCCATATTGTTTCATACCATGGAACAATGCTCTTCTCCAGACTGAGGGACTGACCACCTCAAAACTTTAAGGGAGATGGACTGATTACATCGTCTTCAAGTATCTTCTGCTTCTATCAACTTTTCTGTACTCGACTGAAGAAGCCTACTGTGTAGGCGAAACGTTTCGAAATAAAGATACCTAACTGTTGCATATGTGTCTTACCTAACAATCTGTCGGTATTTTATACCATTTTAATGTTCAATCTGTCAGACACTGCAACACAAGGGTATCTTGGTACAGACCTGGAATCAACTACGACTACCTCTACTAGTGAGAGCGGCTGGATTTGAGAGGGACCTGACCTCCCAACATCTGCGTTCTACTAGTGACCTGTCTCACCTCCTGGCGCTATATAAGGCTCCATCCTGTCACTTCATCTCCATATTGTTTCATACCATGGAACAATGCTCTTCTCCAGACTGAGGGACTGACCACCTCAAAACTTTAAGGGTGATGGACTGATTACATCGTCTTCAAGTATCTTCTGCTTCTATCAACTTTTCTGTACTCGACTGAAGAAGCCTACTGTGTAGGCGAAACGTTTCGAAATAAAGATACCTAACTGTTGCATATGTGTCTTACCTAACAATCTGTCGGTATTTTATACCATTTTAATGCTCAGGTCATGTACTGCTGACCGCACAGCAGTGTCTGCCTGTTCATTGCCCTGTACATCGACATGACCAGGGACCCAACAAAAAATAATATCTTTATGCTTCGTAGAGATACGGCATAGCCAAAGTTGGATATGGAGAACTAACCAATACTTTCCTATATCCTTTCTAAATTTAAACTTATCTAATTTGAATCCATTATTGCGGGTTCTTTCTCTTCCGTTGAAGAGGATCTTGTATTATTACTTTTCTGTAGCTCACTACAGTAATGCTCTCCATGTCACTTACTGTAGTAATGCTCTTCACTTCACTTACTGTAGTAACGCTCTTCATGTCACTTACTATAGTGTGGATGGATCAAATAAAATAAGCACTTACAAAAGATCACATATCAGTTTTATTGCTTACCGGTACTTACAACCTTAACAGCTGCAATAAATATCACAAACATTTTTTTTACATTGAACTTAATTTAATTTGTATATTTCATGTCAATACTGTACATAGGTTCGAAAGTACATATTCGAAATACAGCATAATACATAATGTTGCACATCGCCTTATGCACATCACAGCATTAACCACAAAAAAATCAGTAGTCTTCAGTTCAAAATATCAGGATAAGAACTAGGCAAGATACATTCTGATAATAGAGAAAGAAGTTTCAACGCTTCTATAGAACTCTTCCAAGACAAAATACATTCATGGACATAAACATATCAACTTATCGGTTCTCTGAACCATTCATCTACATTCCTGTCTGACACAGCAACAACTTGGGATCATAATACAGGGAATTGTTCACTTGCCTAACCCTTGGGCACGACCTACTTCCACGCTGGACAAATGTGATTCCACCTACGACTGCTGCACCTCTCCTGCCTACAGTATATAAGCTACTTCACACATATGCTGTATTCTTTTCAAGACTGATGGACTGACCACATTGACTCAAGGCTGAGGGACTGATTACCTCAAACTCCTGTTCTTCACCATTCTCCTTTGTATGGACTGATGAAGCCACTGTATGGTGAAACGTTTCGTCATTAAAGATACCCAAGTGTGCACATGTGTCTAATTTATTAACTTGTCAGTCCTCTGAACCATTTATCTAAATATTGATGGGCAATTAATATATAACGTTAAGATTGAGAGAGTAGAAACTTTAATGGAAAGACAATCAATGACACAAATACAAGAGTAATAGTTGAAGCAAACACAGTTATGAGTTTTCTTTATTGGACAGAGAAAATATGAAATGGTCATTATCCACAGAACATTGGCTGGTCTTCCTAACAGCTATTGTTTAATTATGGTCAACTTTCACTGACTACTCAACTTCACTTTTTTTACTTCAGTCTTGCTAGTGTATGGCTGCTAATTAGTCTTCAACCTTAACACAAACTTACCTTCCAAGATAAACAAATTTATCATAAGTGTGACAACCAGACAAGTAATTTCGTAAATGTTTCTTGTGCATCTTGAAGTTATTCAACACTTGAAAAGTGACAAATATCTTAGCAGATTCTGATGGACAGATCCATCAGTAAATATAAAAATTATATAGTAATGACTATGCATTATTGGATGCTGGAATTATCATAGCAGAGTCGTTTGTGACAATATTCATGATGCACATGAATATTGTCAAGCATATCATAAATACATGTATTGATCAGTATTAAAGACAACTTGAAATAAACTAAGAGCCTTATTGCACAACAGTGCTCGTGCATAATAACAAAGATTTTTTAACAAAAAAGCGGAAAAGTACTATATATGACACAGGAAAATTACAAATGATTAATTAATATGCATTAAATTATTTCATTACATCCACTTAATATTTAGTGCATATTAGGGTTACTGGAACTGCGATGTCTGTGCACCTCTGGCAAGACAGTTATTACATGAATCATAGTCAATAGGTCTGTTTAGATTTAGAAAGGATATAGGAAAGTATTGGTTTGGAAATAGGATAGTTGATGAGTGGAACAGTCTGCCTAGTAGGGTTATTGAAGCTAGGACCTTGGGTAGTTTCAAATTTAGGTTGGATAAATACATGAGTGAGAGGGGTTGGATTTGAGTGGTACTTACACGTGTATGAATGGAGTTATCGGGGCTTGTTTCTCGGGTAGCGCTGAAGGTTGGGTTGGCAAATGTCCTAATGGTGGGATGGATTGTGAAGGACCTGCTTAGCATGGGCCAGCAGGCCTGTTGCAGTGTTCCTCCTTTATTATGTTCTTATGTTTATGGGGTGATAGTGTGAATGATAGTGAGTGTTTCTTTTCAGGTCACCCTGCCTTGGTGGGAGACTACCAGCGTGCTAAATAAATTATAATATATGTCACATACGTATATTATAATTTATTTAACATACATATTGTGTTTCTGATAAGAAAGTGTAAGAATCTATATATCGACAAGAAAGAGCACTAGGAGAGCAGCACACTCAACACAGCTATCACTATACTGTACATATATACAAATACAAATTCTGAATGTCTGACCTTGACCTTTACTTTATACTCATTAAGGTTTCTCTTAGACCAGGAGAGACCTTAATGAAAAGTTTGAGGTACTTCCCAGGCAGCAGAAAGCACTAACACAAGACATAGCTAAGAGTGTACTGTAACTGTATTAGTTTGTTATAGTAATGACTGGTAAACTAATTAAAAAACAATATCAGAGAATCTTCATAAAAAGTTTCCTCTTTAGATATT